GTAGCGCCGCAGCATGTTTCGCTCGAATGCTTTGCCGGACAGCACACTTTTGACTGCCAATGGCTTCACCAATCCCAAAAAATCTTCTTCTGCGAAACAATGATAACTTCGTGGGTTGAGTCCTTAGATCTGGAATTCGACATCGATACATAGCTATAGAGGAGATGGCATTCGCAAATATAGCTGCGCAAGCAAGAGTCTTTCCAGCAGGATGCTGCGGAGCATCTCGTCTAATGTGTGCATTTTCGGGCGCAGGAACCAATGCAGTTCTTGCCGCCGCACATAAATCAGCGCCGCCTCCCGAAAGAGCTTCAAGAAGAGGTGGCCTGTAGATCAGGAACGCACACATCGGTGAGGCACTCATCCAACGGGCGTCGACTGTACTGGAATCAAGCCTCGTCGGTAAAGGCTCTGTGCTTCTTGCGAAGTCAATAAAGAGGCAGCGTCTTCCATCTCATTCTGAAATTGGCTGACCTCGTACCTGATCAATTATGCACATCCCCTTCGATTCATTCGTTCGTATATATGGCCACTATAGCAAGGAAATCGTGTAATTTGGTGGCTGGAGCACACACATGTGCAAATGATCTCGTGCAGCACAAGATCGGTCTCAGCCATAGACGCCCGCATCGTGTCTTGAACACGGTTGTCACACAACTGCGCCTCATCGAATTACGTATACATTTCGAATTATATTATTAATAGCGTCGAACTTAAAACGTGTTGCTGACAAGTCTCGGCCACGAAAGCAAGCACCACTCTCGTATTATACGCCTTGTATCCTAGATATGGATAGTCGGTGCTGCAGAGGTGGAGGCGCTTGGAACTGAACATCCGCCCTGAGCATGTCAAGCGTGAGCTTGCCATCCACGACTTGAATGCGACATAAGCATTCGCGAGGCGCACGTCGATGTCCAAATGGGGGCCTCCAAAAACACCATGACGGCAAAGCCACAACAGAGACTCAGCAGTGACTATCTGGTAGATACCCAGCTGGAGAGAGTGCATCGCGCAGTATCTGAGCAGCTGCGGGTGCCATCCTGGCACTAGCACCAACGGGTTGGGTTGGGCAGGCATCGAGTTCAGGATCATGTCGACGGGGGTCCTCCGCGTGAAGGCGGCGCCGAAAAGAGTGTAGCATGTGCCATGCCGTGCGTTCAAGGAAGCATGGCACAGGAAGCAGATCCTCTTTGTGCGCCAGTAGGTCTGGAGTGCCCAGCACTTTTCGTGGTATTCCCAATCCCCTTTGTATTGGACGCAAGCAAATCGGTACTGCATTGCAGGTTTGAGCTTGCGATACATCGCCGGCACGCTGTCTGCCATATTGTCAGGGCCGACTTGTGGCCGCCGGCCTCGATAGGCGATGGTCAAGCTCCACATCGTCCGGTGGTATACCGGTCTCATGGTCGCCTCGGGTTCAAAATTTGGGTCCAGAATGTACAATATGGCCGCTATGCATTTATCGATCGAATGAACCCGAGTCACAGCACCGCAGCTCCTGAAACTGTTGACGACAAAAAACATGAATGTCTTCAGAAAAGGCCGTCCTGCCAGGGATCTGGCTGGTAGGATTTCTCAAGCGATCGTGCTTTGCGCAAAAAAAAAAAACCCTAAACCCATATTATATAACTTAGAAACCACGTACTACACACAAAGGATTCAGCAAGAGCCTTTGACTTTCCGCATAGGAAATCCAAGAAGAAGAGCTGTGAACTTGTCGTTCTCCTTCGTAAACTGTGCTGTGTCTCCGTAAACCTGGCATCGCATGTAAATATTATTATAATAATATTATAATATATATATATATATATACCCCATATTTTAGTATCAAGCGTATGAACTGATCATTATAAGCAGAGGGACAGACACCGGGATGCATTTACAATCCTCATCACGAAAGTTGCGCGCCCACTCCACATCAAGTCGATGGAAGTGCTCCCACCATGTCCTTGCAAGGCGTAAAACCCAAGGCCCTGCTAAACCCTACCACTAAACCTTAAACCCTGGCTTTTGAAGAATTTGCGATCAGACTTGCACAATCGCCCTCGCAGGTGTTTAAATAGAAGCCTGTATTGGAGCCCTAAACCTCTAGACTCGAAATTCGAAGGCTTAAACCCTAAACCCTAAACCCTAAAAACTGCCATTGTCATTTCGGGCATACATGACCATGATCGAACTGGAAAGATGTCAGATACTACACTTGCAATATATTCGAAAATTCAGCTAGCTAACGTAGTAGCGCATTTCGCCTCGGCACTTAATGTCGTTCTCGTTGACATCTACACGCCCTGTGCTGACCAACCAGTTCAGCAGCTCGTGTGGGTCGTAGAAAGGCAGCTTGGTCAGTTCAGCATTGTCCGGGTTCGGGTCCAGAGCTTTGAGGAGGGGAACTTCCACTTCGGACATCGCCTGCAAGATTCCATTTATCATGCATTACTATGTACATAGGATCATGGTCGCTATATAAAAAATATAATACCCTTCATGCTTGCATTCGAGTAGCCAAGGGCAGCTTCACAAATCTTGATAGATCTCGGTTGACATTATTTCTACTTCTTGTGATTTTGGACATCTTGGACGTGGCTCTGGAGACGTTGTGCCGGCCAGCTTCCTTCAGGGTTTAGGGTTCGAAATCCACTTCATGGGTCATGATTTGATAACAGACTAAACCACTAAGACCCTTAAAAGTGCAGCGATCTTGCTTTGCGAAGCATGCAATAGAAAATCTAATGATTCGGATCATACATAGGTTGCATAGGTAGCTATATAGAATGGAAAGTATATTAAAAGCCACCACGGTCCTTCACAGCAGCTTGGGCACTCGTCACGACACCCAGGGCAGATGAACGACCCTCGCCGAGAGCCTTAAACCTGAGGGCCATCCGTTCCACTGGAATCCCTTATCTTCGACCTAACAAAAACCTCGACCCTAAACCCTAAACCCAAAAGAAACCTCAAATCCAAGCATACAAAACCCAAATATTATAATGTTCCCGGGTATTCAAGTCCTGCTTCGTCCGAGGAGCAAGTGGTTTGCGAGTGACATGTCGTCACCCCGAGCCACTCGTCTGCCTGCTCTCGGGTTCCAAATTTAATAGCTATATATTATTATAAACCATATTTAGCAACCATGCCTCTACTTTCGGGAGTCCTGGACCGTGACCTTGTAGCTCTAGCCGGGCTTCGTCTCAAGCCTCAGATTGAGGGTTGAACTACACGTATTTTCTGGGATGAATCTATTATATGTGCAGGGCTTCGGATATAAGGTCATTAAGGCGTTTCGGTTTCAGTGTTGCAAGGACCTAGCGCTCACACACCTGAGTACTGTAC